TAAGTATACTTTCTAATCTGCTGTATATTGAAATATTCCAGTGAAATAGCGTTCAAATTCTTCTATGATTTTCAATGGAAGATTCCATGCAGTCAAATAAATATTTCTTTAATTCAAATGTCACCAGCTTCACTTGAAACAAAATATTTGTTTCCATGAAACAAATGATAATTAGTATGTTAAATGTTTTGATTCTATATGTTAGCATCTTCGGGAGAATATTAAAACTCAGGAATAACCCCTTGAATTTTTTCGGTGTTATTTAGATATACCCTGTATAAGTATTTTGAGATATCATATAGAGAAAATAATCACTAGAACAAAAATTATCACAGCTCTTTTCTTCATATAAAAAATTGTCATCAATGCACTTCAATGTTATGGAATTTTTATTTCCTTGTTATGCATATATTTCATCTATTCCCGCATTAAAAAATACTCAACTTTCAGGAGAGCAAGAAGAAATCTGCTACGTCTGTCATTGATGTGAATACTCCAGTGATTTCCGAAAACATTTTTATTGATGCTGATGCACCGGATGATAGAGCCGATGATCCACCTGCCAAATATTTGAGGTTGGATACAAATAACAGCGATCAACCTGCTTCAGGATCATCATGTATCTTGACTTCTGTAGTATCGAACCCAAACAGTGTGTCTGTCACATGGTTTCTATTATTCAATAAAGTTTGTTATAGTTCAATTTTGTTGTTAATTCTCAATTCCTTCCAAGAGGAGTATTGTTTTCTAAGAAATGAATTTCTTCTCAGGAATATTCTATTTCTTTGAGTTTATCAATTTTTGATTTCGTTCAAATCTACAATTTATTTCTGGTAAGGGAATCCATTATTTGAGCTTGTTTCTTCCAAACAATTTCCTTGTTTTTCTCAAGCATTGACATCTTTGAATCAAATTACATTTACATATATTTATTTTTCACAAATAATCATTTGTTTCTTCCAAAGAATGTTCTTGTTTCTGTCAAGCTCTGATTTCTTTGATACAAATTTCATTTAAATATATTTATTCTTCACAAATAATTATTTATTTCTTCCAAATAATTTCCTTGTTTCCCTCAAGCTTTCATTTCTTTGATGCAAATTATACTTATTCACCATGCATAATTCTGATCATAAATCCAAAGAAATAGTTTTGATTCAAACAAATATACACTTTCTTCCAAATTATAAAACATATAATTTCCAATAAATTATATAGATACAAAAAAATCACTTATTTGAAAAATCAAAAGAATGGAAACTTTGATTCAACCAAGCTTGTTTGTTGGACCTATTCAAACTTCGGATTTCTTTGAATTTAACAATATTTGTTAAATTCAAAGAATTGTTTTTCTCTGTGTATGGGGAACAATATCGAGTAGGTATTCTGAATCGCTTAAAAGGCAGCAAGGCTGTGACTTCGCATTAATTTTGATGAAACAAAAAAATCCACTCGAATAATCCAACTCGATGATACATCGTTGAATTCAATATACAGTGTGGTCATTTAAGTGTGCAACATATGGGAATCTTTTTAAAACTAGTTGAGCGCCGCCGTACAAGGAAAAAATCTGGTCCCAGATGACCAAATTTTTTTTTATCGGTTTTGACATAATTGAGCATCACCGTTTATGTCTCTCCACGAATTTTGTCGATTTGTGACTTAGTTTTTTTTTTCATAGGCCTTTTTGTCTGAGGCATGCCTTGTATGCCGCGCGGCCTGTGGGAATTATCATATGGTATAGGGCCATGCGACATACATGTCATGTTCAGTTCAGTTGCATACATTTCAGTTCATTATCTTTCCATCTCATGAGATGCAATATATTCCGTTGTTTGTAATGTTCTTGAATAAAAATGCTTTCTTCGTTCATAGTGAAGTACCTACCAAAACAAGACCATCCTCCACTTTCAAATTGAAATATCAAAAAAAAAAAAATCGAAAATAAAAAATATTCACGGGCCAAGACCATAGCATGGTTCGTCAGGCCACACTCTTCAAGCCCCAATTTGATTTGTACAGTAGCGAGGCATCTCTACGATACCACACCAGAAAATATAACAGTCCGTCACGAGGCACAGTGTATATGCCGCGCTGCCCCAGGAGCAAAACTATGTGTGGCACGCGCACTATACCTCACGGCGCTCAACTGGTTAATAAATTGCACAAGCAAAATACAGATAGTACCGAAAGTTGGTGCATGTTTGGTAATCATTTTAGGTGCACTTAGAATGGTTGTAAGTCACACAGCATACAAGGTAGGTCAAAAAATATAAAAATTGCTCAAGAGTAAAGTACCCTCATTTCAGAAAATTCAGAAAAATGTTATTGAGAAAAGTTGTTTACAATCGAAAGTTATGCCTAAATACCAAAACATGGCCTCCTAAGACATTCTTTAGTTTTTTAATTGTGTTCGTGAATAATTTACCAATTTGTATTTTTTTTTATATTCACCCTGAGTACTTTCATAAGTTAATCATAACAAAATCAGTTGAGCATACCTTCGTTCAAATTCAAGCATATTTGTGCAATTAACTTGGATTTTAATGTTTTTAGGAAATCACAAACTTTTTGTTTGTTGCAACGATAATCAGCTTAACTTTAAAATTTCGCAAACCATATTTTCAACTAGTTAAAACATCATGAATGATAATATGCATATCCAAAAACTTCCATTCAGTGTGAACATTTTGTATTTAAAATATTACAAATTGGGAAATTATTAACGAACACAATTGAAAAACTAAAAAATGTCTTAGGAGGCCATGTTTTGGTATTTAGGCATAACTTTCGATTGTAAACAACTTTTCTCAATAATATTTTTCTGAATTTTCTGAAATGAGGGTACTTTACTCTTGAACAATTTTTATATTTTTTGACCTACCCTGCATGCAGTGTGACTTGCAACCATTCTAAGTGCACCTTGAATGATTACCGAACATGCACCAACTTTCGGCACTATTTGTATTTTGGTTGTGCAATTTATTGAGAAGATTCCCATATGTTGCACACTTAAATGACCACACTGTATACGATTGAAAATCGCCATAAAAACGAAAGTAAAAACGCGACTTCAGATGGATGTTGCAAGGACAGTTAATCTATTAGAGCAATCATTTCACACTGTCAAAGCAAGACATATTCCCTGAAGATCACTGTAAATGCGATATGAAAGTATTTTTGTCGGTGGTAAATAAATAAGAGATGATTTGTTTATCGATAAATACATGTTAAATTGTATGAAAGTTTTATTGTCATGGCAAACAATCGAGAATCAAGGGAGTGGAAAAATCGCGAGAGCTTGCTCGAGCGATTTTTTTCTACTTTGTTACATCTCATTTCATTAGATGTGGCTGTATACGAATGGGCTTATATCACAAAAAAAATTTATTCCATAATTCGATAGAACTCACCCAAACTAGCTCACCACCGCAAACCGTTTCTTGCTGTGAGCTCCCTACGTTTTATAAAAAATTATTGAAATCCTCGATTTTTCGGACCTCTGAAAACGAGGCGATGATGTGACGTCAAAACCCTAATACTGAAACAAGACTATTCCAGACAGAGATGAATGATACATGATTTCTGACAGAGTGAATTAGCGCGAGATCACAGTTGAAAGAATCAATATTTCAGTTACCTCAGTCTCCGTCGGGCGTTTGGTATTTTCTTTCAACTATGGCGAGATCTACATCATCCGTTTTCAGAAGGTACTATCATTTATTTCCAAAAATAAAATGTTCCAGTTGATTTTTCGATCGAATTATGTCGTCAATCATTATTTATGTATAAAAGGATCATTATAAACATGGTTTGAGTTAAAAGTTCTACTAAGGTGTACACGCCCATTCTCTTTAAAATGGAAATAGAAACTCAATTATCAGAATTGCATCAAACATCATCAAAAAAGAACCTTCTTAGAACATTTCTGTTTTTTGTATCGTAAATATAAGTGTTGTTGTTATTTGGTCCGATGGCCATTAAAAATATGACCATATCAGGGCCTCTTACGGATTTTCTATGATCAACAACCTTATAATTGTTGTCAGTTTCTTTTGTAGAATTTTACAGTCACACTTCCCATTCAGCCTCCTCTCTTGAAACGATCACGAGCCGCCACTGTCTAACGGTGAGCAATTATCTCCGTAACTGCCATGTTGCCAAATATCATCTTCTCTTAATAAACAATCTGTATATATGTCCTAAATATCGAGTCAAAATACTTCGAGATAGCCTACTTCTCCGATATGGTTTTCGCTTTTTTTTTCGATTCCCATCGATTTCACAACCAAAATACGATAATTCTACACAATACAGGTTCTCTGTTTTTTTTCTTTAGAAATAATTTTCATAATGGATTCCCGCAAAAAAATATGTAAGCGTGACCAAATTTTCTGAATTGCTCCGGCCGTTACTTGATGGAAACACATAGCAAATGAAAAAACTTTACAAACGATAGGATTTCGCTAACATGGTAGCTTCATCAGATTTTCACCTGATGAAGCTACTGTGTTAGCGAAACATGTCGTTTGATCAAGAATTTCGTGGAAATCTCATCGTTTGTGAAGTTTTTTTCATTTGACCAAATAGAAATATCGTCAGTGATATACACTGCTTGCCACAGTCGTGGAATCATCGATATTTCCTAAAAAATGATATTGATTAGTGGCAACGAGGTATAGGCTTGATTATCGGAAATATTGCAATAAAAAAGCAGGAAGATATAATGATAATAATAACAATATTATGACTTCTAGTGATGAAAGTCTGTGCAACGACATTACCCAGGCACTTCACGTTGTGAATTTCCTAATGATATAAACCACTGTTGAAATTGCGAAAAAAAAATCATACGGGTGTATAGAAAGTTTCATGCTATACCTATACCAGTTGATACGATTAATAGTTGAATCTATGATTGAACTATAATAATTATTATAATAGTATAATAGTCCACAGGGGAGGAAACTGATAATTCCTGTGTTTTTGTTTTTACTCACCTCTATTTCTATATGTGGCACCGCCCCATTCGTAGTCGCCTTGATATCTGCATCTCCGATTTTTTCTAATTTCCCCTCGCCCTCTGCTATCACTTCTCCCTCTCCCTTCTTAGGGGTTGTCGTTATATCCACTGACCTCTTCGACTGTCTTGCTCCCATGCTTCTGTTACTTATGCGTTACTGAAACAAAAAAATATTTTTTTCTGCAACCGACACAGAAGTCGTCCATTTTGATACCAAAATTAGCTCTTAAATTGACGTTTCTATTACTGACACAAAAATAGGTATGTTGCTAGGCAATATATTTAGTTCCTAGGAGCTAAAGTTGAATTTTAGTTCCTAGGAGCTAAAGTTGAATTTTAGTTCCTAGGAGCTAAAGTTGAACTTTAGCTCCTAGGAACTAGCTTAAGTGTCACAAGAAAGTGAACATTTTCAGTCAATAAACCATCATACTAAGAAAATATCTGCTAGTAGTGGAAGAACTGATATACAGGGTGTCACAAAACTAGCATGCAATACATTGACAGTAGAATCCACGAATAGAAGAAATCAGTTCGAATTAACATGGGGTACAGCGTCTTAAATCAGCTTTCCTGAAGATGATTTTTATCATTATTTCTGAAACGGGATCAGATAAAATGATTAAATTTGATATGTTCACCTTATATTTCAAGCTGAGTTCTAAAATGTAAAGAAAATTTGAAATTTGTATTCAGGAGTGTATCAAACACGATAGTTTTAGTGTACTGTGTTTATCCTTCACACTTTTGTTAGCAATAATTATTTTTCAGATTTGAAAATTATGAGATTTTTTTATGGAATAAGGTACAATTCTTTCTTCGATTCGATAAAATGGTCACTTTTAGACAAAAACCGAATTGAACATAAAATAAAATGCCAAGAATCATATTTCGAATGACTCAAATATTCTTCATACGATTATTTGTTTTATTCGGGTTCATTTTGATACTGATTCAATCACTTCAATCAGGAGCGTATCAGAAAAATATACATATTTTTTTAATGATCTCTGATGTCATGTTAATTTCATGTTCAAATTGACTTCTCCAAAACTGCATACATTTTAGAATCCTACTAATAATTACAAAAGATAAGGACGAGCTTCCATTCTATTTTCTATTTAAATGTTTTGAAAAAAATATCATAACATCTTCAAATGGTTGAATATAGTATCCAGACAATACCACTTGCACTGGTACGTATAACTAAAGAATATAATGAGGATTCAGCTAATCTATATCTTCTCTTCAGGCTTTTCTAATAATTATTTTGGATACATATTTACATTAAACTCCTAAACTCCAGTTGAAAACTTCACTTCACCTCCTTTCTAGGTTGAGTCGACAAGAATCACTAATCACATGAGGAACATATCAAAAGTTACACAATTCACACTGTAAGAGTTGAAATTGTGATTTCTTTCAATGTCTCCAGTACTTTTTTATCATAAAAAAAATCAAGAGAACTTGTTTTAGTATCGACATGTGAATCAGATAGGCGTGAGAAATTAGGAAAGTTTCAAGATAACGTTCAAATGGAGTAGAATCGGAATTTATCACTGAACAAATTCTGCAATATTTACTCAGAAAATAGCGATGACTATTACTGTGTAAATCAATATCAAATAAATGTTATCAATCTTACTTTGGACGGTATCATAAACTGCATTCATAACCCCACCTGTGATATTGCACTCTCTTCTATACGTGGAATTCTCTTAATGCTAATGAAAACAGGAATTTTCGGTACAGGAAAATCAGTTCCGATCACAATTCTAAATCACTATTTTGCTATTTCAATTGACAGCTCGAGCTGAGATAATAGCTGTCATAATGAATTTCAAAAAGTTCAAACTTCCAATACAGTGTGACTGTAGGTACTTGTAGTTCAATATAAATAATGTCACTCTACAGGGTGTCCGATAAGTCATGGATCGAAAGAAGTGGGATGGTAAAGGCATAATTACCAAGGTCATTACCAATCCAACTAACCGTATATGTGGTTATCCAATTGTTGATGATTCAAAAATCATTAAGTTTTATTTCATTTCAATAAACAAAAATATTGCATTGACCTATGTCACATTTGTGATTTTTTATTTTACAAATATCATCCACATGAATACAACTTTCACCAGAAATAATGTTATGACATGCTGTGTTACTTCAGCCGCTTCAGCGTACATACAGTCTAATGTATGTACGCTGGTTACTTCTTAGCTCATCAAAGTAATTTAAACAAATGATTCATAAAATGAACAACAATGGTAGATTTGCTGGAGCGAGAGATATACCAAAAATGCACTCTATGACCTAGTGGGGTCGTCTTGAGTGATATACACTGCTCACCAACCGCCATGGAACCACCCCAATTTCCGGAAAATGATATTAGGAGTCAAAATAGGTTGAGAATCACTTCGGATTCGGAATCAGGACGCCCAATTCACAAACTATTCATAGTATTCCTAGAAAATTTTCAGTTCCGAAAAATTAAATTTTGTCTCACTTCTAATGGTAGCACCCCCCGTATCTCACGTAATTATTGAGGCAGGGTTCTGAAATTTGCAGGAAGAAGGGAAAGTCCAAAGATAAAGTCAATTACTTAAGATACGGGGTTGCTTCCGTAAAAAGTGCGACAAAATTTAATTTTTCAGAAAAATATTACTAGCAAGTGAATTGGGCGTCCTGATTCCGAATCTGAAGTGATTTTCGACCTATTTTGACTCCTAATATCATTTTCCGATAATTGTGGTGGTTCCATGGCTGTTGGCGAACAGTGTATATCACTGAAGATGACACCACTTGGTCATAAAGTGCATTTTTGGTATATCTTTCGCTCCAGCAAATTTCAGGATCCTTACCCAACGATCACGTAAGATACAGGGGTGTTTCCATTAAAAGTGGGTCACACTGTATATGACGGATACTAATGCAAGTGTTTCTATTAAAATTTGCATATATGAAAACTTAGAATGCGAATATCTTCGTAATCGTTTGAAATAACCCAATAAAACCCGGTATAGTTGAATTCATTGTATTATAATAATCTCTAACAGATTATAATGAAATATAGGGTGTTCTATTTGAGAATCGAAAGTTGATGCCAATTCCAGGAAAACCGGATGATCCTTGAATGTGAGAAAGTGCCCTTTAGTGAGCATATTAGATGTTTCAAATTTCAGGAATATAGCTAGAAAAACTGAGGTGAAAAGAGGAGTATACCATAAGTCTGTGTTGTAGGCACGATGTTATACTCATACATTTCGGCATATAATATATATATATAGATATGTTTTCGATACAAGACGAGATCATTTGGTGATATAAGCTGAACAAGTGGAGATCCGTTTCGACAAGCCGAGATCCGAAACGGATCTCGACTTGTTTCTATGTGTATATCATCTTAGTTACGTTATCGTAGGTCATAGGAGGGGGTACACAAATTTAAGTCCGGATCTCCATTTGACCATTTTTGTCAATTTTCATACACTCGTAGTTCTACCTAGCGCTCTGAAGGGGGCGCTGCGCTGTGCGCCTTGTTTATGATATTTACTCGACAATATGAGATCCAGTATATTTGGCAACGTCGCATCAGAGATCTTTCAACTGAGTCAGTGTTGTAATATGAATTTGAGCTTCATTTTGTTAGTCTATTTCGGAGGCAAATTCAATATTTTCAGAATGTGTTCCTTATGTTGGTATATTAATTCACATGTTACCTTTATTCCGAATCTGATGATAATCACGTACGAGTACATCGGAGGCAATATATTATTTATTGAGCTCTTCGTAATTCAATTACAACCTGGTTGTGAAAGTTGAAGAGTACAGTATATTGTTTAACGATCACGGAATATCGTCATTTCCCACGAGAATAAAGTTTGCAGCATGAGCCTTAGGCGAATTCTACAATCATTCGAGGGGGAAATCAGCATTCCGTGCGAGTTATGCACTATAATTTTTCTACGGCTGTAACAGGCAACAGCGACAGTTTGGATTTCTTCGTCTTGTAGTCATCTGATTTTCTCTCAAGTAATGCTTCATCTATATCAGACAGAGCTGTCGCATTGGCTGTGATTTCACATTTCATGGGCGATGAGATTTTTTTGAAATAATATCACAATGGAAACATTGTGATATCAGATACGGAAATGAAATTGATAACATACAAAGTACCTCAAAAATGTATCGAACACAGTGAGACAAGATCAATTTTGTGTTATTGCCGTAGAAAATAGTATATTGTTTAACGAGCACGGAATGATAATGATTTCCCACAAGAATGAAGTTTGCAGTATGAGCCTTAGGCGAATGCTGCTATCATTCGTGTGGGAAATTATAGCATTCCGTGCGAGTTATTCACAATACTTTTTCTACGGCTGTAACAGAAAACAGCAAGATTTTTCCATTCTTTGGCTTGTGAAGCCATCTGATTTTTTCATTAGTAAAGCTCATCTATCTGACATAACTAGCATTGCTTGAACTTTGACATGCCATGGGAGATGAGATTTATTTGAAATATAATAACACAATGAAGTCATTGTGATATCCAATACGAAAATAAAATTGATGACATACAAAATACCTCATTGATTTATCGAACACAGTTAAACAAGAGTAATTTTGTGTTATAGCCGTGAAAAATAGTACATTGTTTAACGAGCATGGAATGATCGTGATTTCCCACGAGAATGAAGCATGAGCCTTAGGTGAATGCTGAAATCATTCGAGTGGGAAATTAGCACTCCGTGCGAGTTATACACTATAATTTTCCTACGGCTGTGACAGATAACAGCAAAATTTTGGATTTCTTCGTTTGTAGCCATCTGATTTCTTCATAAGTAATGCTCATCTATATATGACAGAACTGTCATTACTTGAACTATGACTTGCCATGGGAGATTAAATTTTTTTGAAATAATAACACAATGAAGTCATTGTAATATCCAATACGAGAATAAAATTGATAACATACAAAGTACCCCATTAATTTATCGAACACAGTAAAACAAGAGTAATTTTGTGTTACAGCCGTAGAAAAAAGTATCTTATTATTTTATATGGAAGTAATGTGTTGGTAGGTACTTTTGTGACGTGTCTGTATGTTTCATTAAATGAACGAACCTCATCAAATTACATATCATTGAACTCGTGATTGTG